TCAGGCAATTTGCTCGTCCCTCGGAAGAAAGTTGCCAAATCTACGTGAACTAGCCAGCAAACACACCTTCACACAAACAATTCATACCCATGCTTTGTAGTAAGATGGACCTCCCCTCCTGCGTGAGGTCGAGCAAGGAAGACGAACTCAACATGGCCGAGAGGACAAGCGATCACTTGCCAAGGTGCTCATTACAGCCAATTGTAATTAGCTCCTTTTCAGAAGTTCTTCTCAGTCGACTGCTCACTCTTCGACTCTTCTGCCATTTGCTCATCTCTCCGTGTCTGTTGCTGTGCTGGCCTCTGCATGTCGGCTCTTGTGTTCCCAATTCGCACCAAAATGGGTCAATCGGAAGATGCCAAAATCATAGTTGACTTTGACGATTCCCAAGTGCCCGACGCTTTGGTCCAATTTCTTCTGGTACTCGGCATCTGCCTCGTCACGGCCAGTCTTGTTGCACTTTGCGTGCATTTCTGCCTTCTGAAGCACTGCGAATGCGCCACACATTCCGAGACCTCTCCACAAGCCTCGCATCGAGTCTCTCCGACTCCTGACAACGTTAGAGCCGCGACCTTGACTCCTGCCCTTCGACTGCCCTGTAAGCTGAACTCGGATTTGGCTCCTCTTCTGCATACCGGACCCGGCTGCCCCAGTACTCTTACTTCCGGTCGCATGGCAACAACATACATTGGGACGGAAAGTAGTGATTGGCTCTTCCCTTACCAACGAGATGCAGACAACTCGAATCAACACGAGGCCGAACAACCGCCCTCTTACGAGCGTGCAGTTCAGCAGATATCTCCACCACAAGGACTTATCGCCTTTTTGATGCCACAAAAGTAGTCGCAGTCATCGCCTCCAGTGTTCACCGAGACTAGGTTGACGCCATATTTCCTACCGGACAAATAGTGTACTCAAGGAGATCAGCTCCTTTTGATCGAGACTCAACTCAAAATTTAACGAAAATGGTCGCGATCTCGAATTAATGTTTTAATCACAATTCACAATTTTACTCGCTTCTCAGATGATCCAATAATCGCAATGCGAACTCGCCAATACCAAAGGATAACAACTGATAATTTGCATAGATTTTACACTTTTACAATTCACCTTAGCTTATTTCGTAACACTCATTGACATCTTTGCAAATTTCTAAATCATATGTCCATTACTTGTGAATTTTCTGCTTATTGTTGACACTTAGAAGGACAGAAATCTTGCTTAAACCTTTAAATATTGGACTTAATAATTCGAAATTCATTCTTTCATTTTTACAATCATCTAGCTACAACTTGAAGTAAAATGCCCTCCTAGAAGTTGTCTATATTCTTATTTCCTGTAAGATGGTGGGTGTACACCTAGAATGCCGATTTCAAGGTTGTTCTGAATACCCTCACCGACCCGTTGAACGATTGAACCGAGTGACGACCGTTTTCTGTTTTACATCAAAAGTTCTGGAAGCTGTTCTACACACTTCAGAGTGCAGATGAGCCCACATTTCTACCGAGAGGACTGGTCTGTTAGTTCCTTTGAGAAAATTATTTTGAATAGAAAATCGTAACAAATTGAAGGTCATTAGATTGACTTCTATTTCGTCTGTCTCGGAGAGTAAAGGTCAAATGCATAGAATCCTTTTAACTCGCACTAAAGATTCTATAGCATTTGGGATTTCGGCAAAATAGTGGGGATACCATATAAATGATTCTGCCAAGGCCAACGAAAGTCAAACTTTCCTCTACTTTCGAGGTTAATCATCTTTTAGGCGATCAGTATAGACCAGCTTATTTTCCATTTTGATAGATATTAAAGCTGACATGTTAATGCTAGAGATTCTTGTGGTCTCCGCTAGATGCATATAATATGATGCGTTAGGAAACAAACCCAGGCGAAAGTAACTTAAATGTCTCTCGAGCCCTTTTACTTAGTACCAACTAAGCTTATATTTATAATATGAGATATATTCACCCAATTTCGTTTAAGGTGATGAAGGACTGGTAGAAGAATTTCTCCATAATGATATGAGTTGAGCTGACGTTTGCATTGAATTTCACATAGCCTTGCTTTCCCAAAAGTTTTTCTCTACTTACAGGGCAGATGTGAATTTTAAGGAAGGCCAAGCCTTTTTGTCATATCATCTTCTTTGGTGGGATTGTCGATGAAGCAAACGTATATTTGATATAAAAATCGACTACGTTACTAATTTGTCGTATGAAAGTAGAGTTTCAAAACCACCAGTAAATACATCTCATGTGAAATTCAATGGAAACGTTAGCTCTACTCATATCATTGTGTGAAAATTCTACTACCAGTCCTTCGTCAGCTTAAACGAAATAGGGTGAATACATCTCATATTACTTATTTACTCGTAGTCTCTAAATTCTACTTAACTGCGAAAAATTATATTTATAAGTTGAAGGTTTCGATACTATCGGTGGATCTTTGCTATGAACTACATTCATTCTACTTCGCTTATGTTCATAGTTACATTTTTACCATAATTATACGAATTAGACAAAGCTAGGTGGCCTGCCAGTGTAACTTGGGGAAATTGTACAATCCGTTTTTCACCACCTCATGTGATTTAGGAGAACCACAGCTCTTAGGTTTGACTTGAAAGAACCTTCCTCAAACTACCTCTGACTTTGAGGTTTCTAAAAAAATAAGGAGTAAATTTACCTGCTTCAAAGGTATGAAGACCAAGCTAGTGTGGCCTTTTGTGTGATCGTAGTCTTCTTTCGTCGCATATAGGTTGTTTGACCTTGTTTCGTGTGAATAGCCCAGGGCAGGAGGAGAGATACCACAACTGTTTAGTACATGTTTGGTCAAAGGATGGGCTGCACATGTCTCTTTGATGAGTTGCAATATGGTGCTACGAATGACGAGACCCACTGACGATTCCAACTACGATGCCGGCGAAACGTCTGGGAATGTACCACGTCCACGGTCCCACTTTGGAATTGATCATGCATACAAAGGTGTGTTCCTCTATGTCTTCCTACCAATGTGACCAAGTTTCGAAAACAATGTCAAACAACTTTTTTTTCCTGCTTCAGTTTCTTTCGATTGCAAATTGTATAATGTACTCACCATAGATCCAGCTTTATATGACTACTGCTCCCCACTACTTCCTGTTATTGTGTCAGCCAAGCATATTAAATGTCACTTTCTTAATTCATATCATCGTATGTAATTTTAGACGGAAAATAGGCAACACTTAATCACAAGATATAAAGGTTTAGCCAGAGATGAAATTATATTACATGTTGGGTTAATTATTCTAATTAAATAATCTTACGTGAGATCATATGTCTGGAATACTAGTCTACAGCTCAATGTAACTAAAATAAAGCACTGCCAGCGCAAGAAGACTTTCCAACATTCTGTAGGCTTTTTCCTTCAACACAGTTCAGAACCTTTTGCTCCCCTCCAGTAGCCGCCACCTACTCGTCGATAAAATGTTTAAGGAATTCATTTCTATGCAATTTCGTCAGTATTTAGCTTGAGTCAACCATCCGAGAAAAAACAATGCTTAAAGCAAAGATTTTGTCTTCTGTTTTGACTGGTGAAGAAGCGTCTTCAGTGTATGAGTAGAGAGATTTCCACCTTGGCTTAACCATACTACTTGACTGGATAAGGTGAAATGACCCCACTTTATTGAAAGTGGTGAGGAACTGGTAGTTGAATTTTCCCACAATGATGTGAATAGACCTTACATTTTTCATGAATTTTTAAATTGCATCGCTTAACAAAAGGTATCCTCGTCCGGGTTGTATTGCAGTTTCTAACTTGTCGAATCCTGATAGTGCAGTGTATAATCTAGGCGCGTTAACAACTATGCCACACTGGCACAAGTGTCCTTGCGTATAATTAAATTAAACGAGAATCCTTGAAAAATTCTGATGTTTCGTTAGGGAAGAGCATAAATTTATACTGGAGATATGCAGGTTAGATATTGTATTGAATTAGAGCTATTCTGTCCTGAAGCGTTAAGGGATGAGAATAAATTTCCATGAAATGAATGAAGATGGCCTAATTTTACTGTAACTTTATTTTCCAAATTTGTATATGGTGATTACTATTTGCATAGATTGCTGACATTTCTTCATTAGTATTGCGTTTTTATCGGTTTAAGCTTAAATATATAGTCTAAGTTAATTTTAAATATCTTATCGTAGCTACTTTACAATTTATACATAAAGTGTCTCGTCTCTAAAGCTTCAGTGATGATTTTGTATTTTACTCTTTATTTTATCAACTCACCTTTCTATTCAGTAATTAATGAATTAGAAGATTATTCGTCCTCATTCTTCCTCTAGCCAATAAATTTATATTCAATTTAAATCAATTTGTTAAGGTCTAGGTGAGACCATTCATCCCGTTTTTCTTAAATTTGTTCAATTAATTTTATATAGATTCCAAAACATTATATTTATTTTGGGCTAGTTTTTAAATAGTAGCACGTTTCACATTTGTGTCCATGTTCTTTCTAACCTCCCACATAGCCAAACTGGTGCTTATTTTCACTAATAAAAATGCATTTCACGTTTGTTTTTTCTGAATTTTCGTTTTTCCCCAAATTTAAAAGACTTAAATTCTAATCGAGGCTATGAAGGTCAAGATGGGCCGACCTTTAGTATGTCCGCTTTCTTCTTTCGCCAAACAGAAATGGTTTGACCATGCTTTCGCAACTTGGTCGTATGAGAAATGCACCTTGTCCGGAGTCCATAGAATCCATACTAATTCTCAATGTTGCACTGTGGACTTGGTATATTCCCAGACGTTTCGTTGACATTCTTAGCGCCATGCTCTAAAGCGTCAGAGAGGAGTGAATTCGCCTTACTTGCTTATTTAAAAGTGGTTCTGGTGTGCCTTTTTGAGCGGGTTTCATGAAACCTTTTCACATCCCCACCATTGTGTCGGGATGGTTGATCTAAGATTGTCGTTTAGTCCGCGATCCTCTTCCTCCAAGATCTATCAGAGTCTTTTCAATGCTCTGGTTCAATGATTCCACTCAATCCATTGTGTTCGACATATATTTCACTTTGATTAGGTTTTCATGATTATTAGTTAACCAGATCTATGGGTTATGTTGACCCTATTTCTTTGAGGGCGATAAAGGACTGGTGTTTGAATTTTCCCACAATGATATGAGTAGAGTTGATGTTTCCATTGAATTGCTCATAGCCTTGCTCTCCCGAAAGGTGTTCTTACCAGGCTCAGGTAAACTGCAGGTTCGACCTCGCTTAGGTCTTATCAACTTCACCAACGGGAGTCGAACCCTGAATGAGAACACCCTATGGAAAAGTAGGGCTATGTGAATTTCAATGTAGACGTAATGCCTAATCTTATGATTGTGGGAAAATTCTGCTACCAAACAAAAAATAATTATATTTGATTAGGGTT